AAACAAGCGCCTTCTCCTCAGCAGGATCTACAAACTGCAGCCTATATAATGTAACTTTACCCACAGGTGTAATAGCATCCCTTTCACGGCACAACAATAGGTATTAGTACTACTATAATTTATTTATGAAGGCAGATTAGAAGCTAAATTGGGTGATTTTAAGGCCCTTGTGCACACGTCTACATGACCATGTCATCACTGCCAGGTATTCTGTTTATGCAACATTCACCTGGTGCAGTCAGTAGGAAGCCAGTCTGCCACTCACCCTGGGAGCACAAGAAGCTCATTTTCCCCCAGTACAGTGGCAGCAAGAGGACAAGATAACAACACTGCTCTACTCACAGGCTAATACCTCCACTCAGCATCTCTAAAGAAGCCATGTACCCTGTATTCTCACAGTCCAGGCACATGTCCTGAACAGTCCACAGGATCCCAGTACACTCTACTTTACCTGGGGTTGCACTTCAACAGCCAAGCAAGCACAAACTGATTTGGGAAGCACAAACCGCTTTCCCATTGCCCAGCAAGCTGAGCAGCCATGTGTACATATAGCGTGAATCCAAGTTCCTTCTATGTGTTTGGCCAACTTTACAAGCTACTGCAGAAAAAGCTGTGTGTACCCCTTGGGGTGGTTTGCTATGATGTAAGAGGGAGGAATAAGATGTATTTCCAACTTTTCCAATTCAGGTACAATCAGCTTCTATGAGAACTGTGATGTATTCCATACTAAGTGCTTCCTACCTTGATTCTCTGTCTTTTAGAAGAAGAAACTGAGGACAAAATGTTCCTAAATTATTTCAAAATAAAACCCAAGATGGATTGCTTGCCCAACCTTTCCTCTTAAGCCAACTTCCAAGCATGCTTATATTTGAAATTTTTACCGTTATCACCCTATTGAGGCTTGTAGTGTTCAATTTCCTTATTAGGGTGCACTCTGTTGATTTCTGTATGAGGGATTTTACCCGGGTTGTCATTTTACAAAAGGGGGAGTTAACAGGCAGCTGAACCCATCCATTAATATATATTTAAAGCCAGAAGATATTTCCTGCAATTTAGAAGCCCTAAGATTTTGATGTCCTGTTTTTATTTTGGGAGGATTATTAGGTTCTAATAATTGTGTGTGTGGTTTCTTTTGCTCTTTGTTTGTTTTGGGGTTTTTTTTTGTTTGTTTGTTTAAACATGAAAGAGGGTGCATAACCCTTACCAATGATTTGGCTCAAGCACAGACAAAAGTTTGTTCTTTTGAATCTGAATGTCCACTCTTTGCAACAACTCTCTTCAGTAAAGATCAAGACATACAGAGGGCACAGGACTAGAACTAACCATTATTCTGTACATATTTGTCAAATGGGATAACAGGATCAAACAGGACGAGTTTATTCATAGTAAAATATGAGAAGTATCTTGGAGATATAAAAGCAACCCAAACCTCAATATGGGGAATGGATAACACACCCTTTGGCGAGCATCCCCAATGCTATTACATATTGGAGTAGGTCAGTTGAGAAGCTAAGCTCACCCTGTTGTCTCACAATTGGTTTCAAGAATGGCAATAACTTCGCATCATCAGCTGCTGAAGGCAACTTGGTATACGCCATTATACCTGCTTTGTTTCATTAAAAGCAAGTTATTGCTCTAGTTAATCCTTCTGTCAATTCAAACTGGAAAACAGGTTTTTAACTCTTCAACTTGCATTGATGAGAAGTTTGACGTGTGTGGCTTTAGCCTTCTGGGCTGTCAGCAGTTATGGTAAGAAGCTGTAGTGCAGGTGCCAAACTCACAGCAGAGAAGCAGCAGCCTGCACAGCTACCTGTGCTCAACTACCAAACCACAGATACTCCATGCAGCCAGTTCATGGCATGGAGCTGCTGTAGGGTCTGTGGCACAAGTCTTATGAGGAGCAACTGAGGGAGAAAAGGAGGATCAGGGGAGACCTTATCATTCACTACAGCTACCTGAAAGGAGGCTGTAGTAAAGTGAGGGTTGGCCTCTTTTCCCAAGTAAAAAGTGACAGGACAAGAGGAAATGGATTCAAACTGCACCCAGAAAGGTTTAGATTGGATATTTTGGAAACATTCTTTATGGAAAGGGTTATCAAGCATTGGAACAGGCTGCCTAGGATTGAGTCATTATCCTTGGAGATATTTATAAGATGTGTAGATGTGGCTATTAGAGACATGGTTTAGCAGTGGATTTGGCAGTGCCAAGCTGACAGTTGGACTCAGTCATAAGGGTCTTTTCCAACCTTAATGATTCCATGAATACTTTAACTCAAGCTAGTTTGGTTTGATCCATGTGAACAGAGAAGCAGTCCAACTCAAGCTGTACTACTCAAGTGAGGACAAGTCATTAATCACAATAGAACTTTAGCTTCCCATATACATTATGACAGCAGACAGTGCATGAGGAGAAGTAAGAATATTACGTCCTTATACTAGGAAGGAGGTAGGAAGAAAAAGGGTGTAAGAAAATACCACTACTTGAAATACAAAAACCCCCACCTTGCCCAAAGGGCACAGCATCAAAGACAAAATAACTCTTCAATTTCATGGAGCCATTTATCTCTACCGTTGACATCAAATGGAAAACAACTGAACTTGCAGGATCTAAGGACAACTGCTGCTTTCATTTCATTTTTCAACTAAACCATGCCTGCTCTATTTCACTCTTTGGTTGACTTGGTGACTCAGGCTGTATCAAGCTCTCAAGACAACATGATTCTTGTCACCACTGCAAAAGCACATGCCTCTTTATATTCTCCAATGCTGAGCCTCATTGTCTCCAACTGTAGGCTGTTTCCATTACTTTCATCAGACCTATATAGACCTGACTTATTAGTCACCACATCAGTGGCCCTCAAAAACACATCTATTTTGATTAATTGGTCTTTAGTTATTTGAAATAGTTTTTCAAATTAACTATCATTTTCCCCTTTCCAAATATCACTCAGCTAAGGGTAACTCATCAAATGCTAGCTTGCTCTGTTGTAAAACCAAAATAAATGGCTTTAACGTAGACATGCTTTATTCTGAGCATGACTGGGCAAAAACCTCACAATACAACCTATTCCAGTGACATCAACACTGAAGACTAGATCAGCAACCCTGAGCACAAAGCCATCTGCCCCACCAAGGACAAACAAGCATTCAGGATTGCTCCCTCTTCCATACTGTCCATTCCCTAGATCAGACTATATTGAGCTAAACTGAAGGATTCAGCCTGAAGATTGTAGAATATCTGGTATCTCTGCACTAAGTAGCCAAAAGCAAGAATGGGCCAGATGGCATTGCATGAAAAATAATAATATATACCTATATACAGCTGTACAGTATCTTCTACATGCCATGGCTACAAACATACACTATGCTGCCAGGCTAAAGGTAAAAACCTGGCCAGATTCAATACCACACTTTGTACATGCAAATGAATAGCACTTGCAAACTCAATACTTCAGGGACATAAACACAGACAGCAAAAAAGAAATTTTTCAGAAGGAACATCTTCTCTCCATTACAGAAATAATAAAACAGCATCCCCAATTTATTTGGGACTATAAACTCTGGCACACTTGAAATTTAAGTCAAAAGTATGTTTTAAAAATATGCTTTGAATCATTGCTCATCAGAGTCACTGATGAAAGATAAATAATCCCAAGTAGCCCCCAAGTTGAGGCATGTGACAGATTTCTACTTCACAGTTGATTTTGAATACTAAAAATGATTTTCTATTTCAGGTTCCTAGTAGTAGAAAAGGTTACTTGAAAGAAACCATTTTGATTCATTTCTACAGCACAACTGTTAAATGCTATATGAGAGGGTTGTTTTCCCCAGTATGAAAACATCCAGAAGTCACTTAGCATTGAAAGGGACATCACACCTGAATAATCTTTATGGAGCAACAAAAAGCATACATTTTTCAACAGTTTCCTTCTAAGAAAGTACTTCAGAGGTTCAGAGAGGTCCAGGGAAATATCTCTGGAAGGTGAACACATTTAACAGCACACTCCTAAATACTGAATGTATTTCTATAGCATTCCTATAGCATTTCTGTAACAGTTTCAGTGGAGAATTCTCTCTGCTCTAAGTTAATGCAGTTATGTGGAAGACAGAAGCAGCAGTACAATAAAGTTGCTGAAACTGCAGTTGTAGCTCTTTCAAAGTAAATATATAAGCAAACTGATTCTAACAAGAAAACTGCACATGCTGCGATAATGCACTGTTGTCAGGTGAAGATCCCACTAACAGAGAACAAACAAACAGGTACAGCTGTCACTCATTCCACTGGAATTACCTGTTTTCATCAAGTGCAGTAAACTGTCACATCTCACAGCAGTGAGCTCATGCTCCCATCTCCCCCGGAAAAATCAGTATCATTGCAATTCCTGCTTCTTTCAAATGATTACAGGCTACCTGCTGTATTCTGCATTATAACTACATGCATATACTGAATACATACAGATGCAGCTTAAGATCTAAAACCGTATTTAAAGAAAACAGTTTATAACTGGCATTAGGAAAAAGCATATGGAATTGAGGCTTTTTCCTTTTTTTCTGTTATTTCCCAGTCCTGAATAGGATTTGCACATGAAACATTTAAACCAAGATCATAAACAAAATAATGGGTGATAAAAAGATTGAAAGAATTATTGGAAGTCATTTGTTAACACTGTAAGCCTACAGGTAATAGCTGAACTTGCTGAGATGCATTATTTGGTCAATATTTCTCATTTGGTTTAATGAAACATGATGGATAACCAAATGAGAGGAAATCTTACTTCAACATAGTAAGTCAAGCAAGTATCCCACTATAAAACAGCAAAATATTTCAGCACAAGAAGACATTTCAACAAGGCATACACACATCTCTTCATACAAGTGCAGGTGCTGTAGGAAGCAGACATGACCTTTATAAAGGCTTTGAAATCCAGAACTTTTCTACCAATTCCTCAAGACAAAATATGAAAATACTTAAAATAAAAAAAAAAAAAAAAGAAATCTTACGGCTTGAAATGCAGTAAGCCAGCCTGCAGTTGATCTTCCTGAACAGTTGCTTGTTGATTGGCCAAAGTATAAGTGTAAAGAGTTGAATGAAGTTAATGATCAGTCCTGACACTATAAATATGTAGCAGATCAGAAGGTGGCAAATGAATTGAGACTTCAGAAAGCCAACGATGTCCATGATTTGCTGAGAAAGCAAGAGGATACCTTCAGACACAAAATTCAGAAGACAACCTGCAAAACCAAATAGTATCAGCAGTTACATAGTGCATTTATTTCTATAGACAGACTAAAAACAAACTTCATGCTTATACTTAAATTAAAAATAAGTCCATTGTAGGAAAAGGCCTGATGCCAGTATTTGCAAAAGTAACAGTGTAAAGAGAATACTGTATTTGTGAAGCAATTCACATTTGGATTTGAAAACAAATTCTTAAGTTTCAATCTTAACTCTGTAAAACCTGTGAGCATATGACTCCACTCCATGGACAACAATACTCTCCTATAAAGTTTTCATTGATAAAATATGAGCAAATATTTTGGTTTGAACTATATGACAGCTTTAATATGAACTTATATTTTTATTTGAATTGTCTGTACTTCATGAGACATACACTGCCACCTCTGTAATCTTCAAGAGCAGCTCCAAAGTAAAGGCAAGCTTTAGAGCTTGGTTAGATGTGCTTTTCTCTACAAGCTATCCCAGCTATGGTCCCCAAACAAGAGGTAGCAGCCCCTTAATTCTAGCTTTATTGTCTTCTTCTCCCCTCATACTCAAATAACAGTTGATTTTGGCAAGAAAATAATTAGCTTTTATGCTTGGCTATGCACAATACACACAATTTCTTCAATTATTCCTTGACACTGATTCTGTCAGTTATAATCCATAAACCCAGAAATGAAACATCAATAACAGTACTAACCCGTGACCCAGAAGTGTTTCCAGAAAGGAATCAATCCTAAGGTTACTTATGAAATGTTTTTGTAATTTTGGAAAGGTCCAGTCCAATGTTAGCAATTGAGCATTCAGAGGAAATGTCCTCTGCAGAGAATTCTGACTTATCAAATATTGTACTGACCTCCCCCTACCATCACTACCACCACTGCTAGAATGAACACTCATCTCTCAGTAAACACAACCCCGGTATTCTGCATACAGTTAGACAGGAGGTGCTTCTGCCATCCTGTTCCACTCCTCCACTGCTTCCCCATCTGAGGCATGGAATAGTTTTCCCAGGGAGGAAACCCTGAGACAGTATTTCTGAATGTGCCAGTCGCATGCAATAACAAAACAGCAGCCGTCAGCAGCCTAGAGAATTAACTGATGAAAAAAATCTTTATGCCTATCCTTTTAGTTTATATGAGACCCCATTATGTGAGGCACTGAGTCTAGATCAGTGACCTGAAACATTTATTTTACTGCTCTTTGCTGACTCTGCTGGCCACAGCGAAGAGCACACACAAGAATTGCTGCAGCGCCTTCGGAAGTTATTTAGCCAGTTTTTCAACCACGAGGAAGGTGAGGAAAAATTTAAGAAAGAATCAGTATTATTGTATAATTTATATTAAGAGTATATGGCAGTCCCCAGCCTATTATCAGCAAGCAAAGTGTGCCCTTTTGTTCCCTTTATCTTGCTGTACTATTCAGTACCACAGCTGACACCAGCTGTCGCTCAGAATGGCAGAACAGGCCTCTATTCATTGTAGTAACCACTGTCATGATACACGCAAAAAGCTTTTCCAGCTTTAACAAACCTTCCTATTAAAGATATGATTCTTAGGGCAGCAGACAATTTACTAGCTTGGGCTTTGATCAAAGGCATTGTTTTCGAAGGCCAAGCAGAATGAGAAATGTTGTCTAGTAGGAACCACTGCTGTCTTCTCCAATCCTTCCAATGAAGACTCAGAAGACAAAGCCAAACAATTAAAGAGAAAAAGGCAGAAACTTTCTTTAAAACAGTGAAAATAGAAGAAACCAGCTACCTGCAACTGGATGGTTTCAAAGACTCTACAGTGTCCAAGACCCTGATGACTGGGTTTATCCTACTGTCCTTGGCCAAAAATGATCACAAGTATTTTTGTGCTAGTCTGCCTGTTTAATTCTATCCCACAGAATCACACTAAGGTAATTCCCAGAGATCAGTCAGCCATGGGATAAAACATAAAAACAGCAGCCACAAATAAAAACCAGAGCACTGCTTATTTACTGAAAACCTGAAAACTCACTATTTGATATACTCAACATAAATCTACTGTAGAAAGTAGCTGACAGATAGACTTCGTAACAAAAATAATTAGTCTTTTTTCCACCAATTAATCCAGTAATTTTTTTGCTACCTTTTCGTTATGACAGATGCCAAACTTTATTAAAATGTTACATTTATGCAAATCATTTACTTCCTGACATGTCTTTAAAATAAAACTTCACAGAAATAAAAAAATATTGAGAAAACCCTGATAAAACATAATTATTGCATTACAGTTTTATTAAGACACAATGGACTGTCTGAAAGTAATTAATTCCTCACTTTCCTAATTCAGCCATCAAACTTCAATTCAGTAAAGCTTCAGAGAGCTGTTTTAAGGCAAACTAAATCTACTTAAGCAGTATCATCCAAAGGCAACTAACCTCGCTTGCAAAAGGAACAAGAAATGAGACACTGCTTAAATTATTTTTTTCTGAAAAGTGGAAAACGACACAGAGAAATTTTCTCTTTTGACTATCTATAAAATATGCAACCTAAACATTGCATATGGAATGGTATCTAAGTTTCCATTTCTCAGACAAACTCATCAGATTTTTTTTACTGTTTTCATCACCCAAACTCCAAGAATGCAATTTATTCTCGGTACAAATAACAAAAAGAATCAGTTTTGATCTCATAAATGAGGTCTAGAAACATGCTTTTAAGAGTCCACTGGAACACCTTACACTTTGTCTTTCAAATAGTCCTCCTGGGTAGCATCAACAAAACACCAGTTTAAGTGATAGAAGAGTCAGGTCTTTAATTCTTAATCCATGATGCTGATTTAATAAATTAGGGATTTCCTTATAGATAATGACTGAAAATTACAGCAATCTTTTAAAAACAAAAGGGCTAATCAATGCATTTTCTCAGAAGCTATTAAGATCAGAATGCTGCCAAGAAGCTCTCTTCTATCAAACACCTCTTTAAAATTAATTAGGGGAAAATGGCTAGCTAGAGCATCTAACCCAGAGAGGGACATTCTTTTTAACAGTTTTTCTTTGGAATGCAGAACAGAAGACTCAAACCTCAAACCTCTGTTTAGGGACCAAGTCAGCAAGCATCTATTCATGTGACTAAGAGGTCACATGTTCAGGTTTAAAAGTAAATTACATGACTATTCATTCTAAGTCTTTTCCCTCCAGCTTCCATTCTTCAGCAAGATCCACTGTGATTTCTACTTCAACTACTCTCAGCATTTCCTTCTGCTTAGACTAACTGACTGGGAAGACATAGAAGTTAAATGCCAAGCAAAGAACTCTATACCAGCAGAACCTGCTCCCAATGAACAGCTCTATTTCATACTTCCAAGTCAGTAAATGTTTTGAGACTACAACTAGAGATCTCATAAAGAACATGTGTTTGCACTTTTAGAGAAAGCACACGAATGAAGCAAAAAAACTGTCACCCACTGTTTCCAAAGTTCATGTAGTATATAGAGTTATTGCAGTGTGGATAGCAACATGGTATGTATCTGACAGCATCTAGATTGAGCTGATATCAACCACCTAGAAAGAGTCAAGTCAGCACTCTACCTCTTTTTTCAGTATATATTTCAAACTTACATGAAAGTTTTCACTTTTTATCTATTCTTTGATTCAGTCTTCAAATGCTTTGTTGCAACTTAAAAACAACCAACCAGATGATGATGAAGAGCATTCTTGCATTTTGTCATCTAAACCAGATTCTTGGATGGATGAATTACAAAAACTATTATGAAAATATGCTCAGGTCAGATTAAGCAGCTTCAGTAGTGCCTTTTAAGTCAGTTGGCACCAAAACCCCTGTATTTGGCACTGGTGAGGCCACAATTGAGTACTGCGTTCACTTCTGAGCCCCTCACTACAAAAGGACATTGAGGTGCTGCAGCACAACCAGAGAAAGGCAGGGGAGCTGGTGAAGGGTCAGGAGCCTAAGTTCTGTGAAAAGTGGCTGAGGGAGCTGGAGGTGTTTAGCATAGAGAAAAGGAAACTCAGGAGTGACCTCATCACTCTCTACAACTCCCTAAAGGAGGGTACAGCCAGGTGGAGCCAGCCTCTCCTCCCAGGCAACCAGAGACAGGACAGGAAGACACAGTCTTCAGCTATGTGGGGGGAGGTTCAGGTTGGACATCAAGAGGAATTTCTTCACAGAAGGGGTGATTAGACATTAGAATGGGCTGCCCAGAGAGGTGGTGGTGTCACTAACCTTGGAGGAGTTTAAAGGAAAGACTGGACCTGGCACTCAGTGCCATGGTCTGGTTGACATGGTGGTGCTCTGTCACAGATTGGACTCAACCTCTGAGGTCTTTTCCAACCTCATTGATTCTGTGAAAACAGCACAGACAGCAGCACTGCATATACATCAGAGTGTATTTAACAGCACTGCTGAACATGAAATACATATACAAAGGAAGTCACAGGAAGCCCCTGTGCTCTTCTCTCTCAGTCAGTGAGCATCAAGCTAGCAAAAGTGAGGTTGCATCCATGTATATATTCATCTGCAAGGAGACTGTATCTGTACACACCACACCAAATATCTACTTGCCTCATGCTTAATTAGGGTTTCAATCACTTTCCACCTCCCCACAAAGACAACTACTAGAGCATTCTTTCTGAGCAACTACTAGAGCATTCTGCCCTTCTTTGTTATCAGCTGATGATAAGTTGTATTAAACTTCCCCAAGTAATGGCTATTTTGACTATGATGGTAACTACTGAATGACCCCGTCTTTACCTCTATGCATGAACTTTTTTGTCCTATTTTCTTCCCTTGCCCTGCTGAGGAAGAGGAGTGAGGAACAGTTTGGTGTAAACCAAGTCAGCCAATATCAACCCACCACAATTTCTCCAAAAATTCCCAAATTGGGCAATAACTTGAGCATATCTTAAGACTTTTCCCCAAAGTTAAGAGAACTTAGGAATGCTTTCAGATTTTTGTAAGAGTCCTGCATTCCTGAGCTGCACATTGTTACAACAGAGAGATCAGTCAGTCTGGCTGTTTCAAAAG